AATAATTACAATTGAATACATACTTACATTATCTTTAAATACCCTCTTTAGAGTGTGTAAATCATGTTAAATATGTAATATAAATAGCCTTGAAAGAATTCTAACTTCTGAGAGCAAACAGATTTTTAGCAATATGGTAAAGTCATACACATTCAAAGATTACCTTTTCTATGTAAAATTGAATAGGTTTTTAGTGAGGAAAGGATTTTCAGAGGAGTGTAAGGGAGATCCAGAGATCCCCAGTTACAGTTAAAGATAGGTTGTAGCTGTGAGTAATTGCCACAGTGATACTTTGAACATTCAGCTCCTTGAGGGTTGGATTTCAGAGTATATGTTAAATAACAGAGTAAGATGGGCTTTTGACCTTTACTTGCATTAGTTCATGTTAGAAAGTTCTTACTTTATTAAAAGTAGTCTGGTCTTCCTTCAGCATTTTATCAAATACTTCATGCAGTTATGACTAAAATGATGTCAAAATGGTAGAGAGATGTAAAATAACTGTTTTTCCAAAAGCACTAAACAAAAAGGTGAAATTGTAGTTTTGCTGTTGCATGTAATTACTTCAGAGGGTGATAAAATGAGAAGAGAATGAGGTTTACAATGTTGGAGCACAATTCAGGATTTATTTTCTGAATTCAGTTGTTTATAAATAATTCATTATCAATAAGTGACTAAAAGTAGCGCTGCCGAGATTTTGTTTGATAAAATTATGGATGTGAGTAATACTAATTGCAAAGACTGCTTCTGAAATTGAGGTAGAAGTTTTATTTGGTACTATAAACATAAATAATTAAAACTGTAAATATTGTCAATAATCAGACCTTGTCCAAGGCTTAGGTTTCTCTTCAAGTGGAACTCAGAAGTTCAATATGTAATTCTAAGTCAGTTGTTTGACTGATCAATTTGGTTTTATATAACTGGAAACATGCAAAGCATTTTAATTTCTTTAAGAAATGTTGTGAGCAATTTGTTTAGTAAGAGAAGACCTACAGAAAGCATATGCCACTATTATTACCCAGAATCCAATAAAAGATTTTTTTTCAAATTATTACCATATGTGAGTAGGAGTTGCTTTGTACTGTAAAGTTATTTTAGATACCAGAATAATTTGTTTCATACTTCAAGTTCCTTACTATTAAAGTGTCCCCTTGGATTTGCTATTACTTTGACTATTGTGTGATATATATTTAAAAAAAAAAAGGGGGGGGGGGGAGTTTACAATAAAAGAAATTTAACAAGTAATTGAAATTCCAGATTGTGTGTAGAATGTGCCAAATGAAGTAATGGCATTTGCAGGGATATTGCATGAATGCAGTAGCTGTGGGGAAACTACTATAAAAATGTTAAATACACTCCCCCTTCCCCTTGCTGTCTTTAACCACTGTTAGAAAAGCTTGAGAAATAAGGCAGTCTTGACTGGCTGACAAATGCTTCAACAGAGAAATTAATGTGTTATAAATCATATGTTACAACTTGATAGCCATATTTCTCTTATTGTTTCTGTTAATATACAAATTCACGGACAGCATTAACAAGGGATGATCACTAAAACAAAACAAAACAAAAACATTTTTTAAAAAACATTTGTATATGTTTCATATTGAAAAGTCTTTTTTAGGACGTAACAGAACGCTAACTGAAGCAAAGGAAAAGTGTCATTACTTATGCTGCTTTCTTAAACCAATGCTTTTGTCTCTGAACTGGTGAAAAATTAAAGAACGTCATGGCTGAAAGGAAAGCTGGTCAAAGTGAGCTTATTTTATGGTGGAGTTTTTGAATGTTCATTCTGTAATATAAGCTTTTTGCTGACAAACTTCAAGTCATTAAGAAAACCATCATTTTTACAGGGAAATCACCTCATTGATTTGATTTGATTTCATTTGATAGAGTAATTTATCTGCAGATGACTGTCAATTTTAAAGATACGTAGGGAAGGATTATATTTACAAACCAGTTTTGAATCTTATACTTTAGTAGTATATCATCAAAGATTTATTACTAACAATGTAGCTAGATTTTTTTCATCTCCTTTGATTCACATTCAGACGTCTTCATGGAGCTTTCCTTTTTAGCTTAATGGATTCATAGCCTCAGGAAAGAAATTTTAAAATTGTGTTGTGTTCAGGTGTCATTTTTTTCTTTACTTATGGAACAAGGTCATATGGAACTTTTTAGTAGTTATTATAATAATTTAGACATTATTTATTGTAACTAAATAGCAAATAGTGAGAGTGTACTTGGAAGCATGGAAGTTTCAACTTCCCTTTATCTGCCTCAACAATATCCCTTCTTAAGGACTTTTCTTCACCTATGGCCAATATGGCACAGTTCTTTGCAAATGCTTGGCAGTCATTAGGCGAAATCCTGTGCATTAAATGTTACTTGCATACCTTATAATGATTGAGTTATGGCCCAAGTGTTGGCAAGTCTCTCTCCTTGCATTGTTCCCGTGCAGGTCTCCAAGTAAGCCCAATGTGTTTGTTACATGTGCTATCTCAAGATTCTGAAAATGTATCCCAGGTATGTGTTGTACAGAGCTTTTTGGACATAAGAAAACTTGGATGAACAGAGCCCTACCTGGTCAGTCCTGCATGTATACCCAGCAATAGACCCAGTCCTGAGCAAAGCAACCAACTATACGGAGTACAACGAAAATTCAAGTGGCCAGAGAGACCAACACTTGTACTCAGTTCATCTTCATCTCACTCTGGGACAGAGAACTTTCAACTTGTCAGAAAAAATTTATGCAAGCCCCAAAGCTTGCACGTCACAAATAGGCCATCACATTTGCAGGATGGCTGCTAACATAGGTCCCGGATAGGTAAATTGAAAGTCAGTTAAGTCTCCTTTGTTTTCTTAAAGTATTTGCTGGAGTTGACTTTACATCCTCAGTGTTATGCTGCTCACAAAGACAAGCTCTTCTTACAGTTTGCTTAGTTTTTCGTAGTGAATGTTAATATTTAAAAACTAAAAATTGAGGAGGTTGCTGGAAGTATTTCTGTGGCAGTAGGAACAGTATTTTTAAAAGACAAGACTGTTTAAGAGGAACATATCTGATAGAGAAGGGGAATGGTGTGTTTACAGTCTTTACTATGTTCCAGAAGGCACTTTAGTTTTGTGTGTTCCATCTGCAGAAAAAGACAAAGGTACTTATTGTCAAAACAAACAAACAACCCCCACCTCCCCTCTCCCCCCCTCAAGATTTCCAGAGATACATACATCTTCTGGTTGAACTATTTCATTCACTGAGTAAAAAATACTGTCTGTGGAAAGAGAAAGCTCCAGCTCACCTGTGGCAATTGCTTGTCTGTGTAGTGCTTAGCCCGATGGGGTCATCATTTCTGTATGAGATTCAAACTGTACAGAGTTCAGATGATTTCAACTACAACAGACCTTTTTTCCAGAATGCTTGATTAGAATACAGAAACCAACACTTGGATACTGGCCTTAGCATTCTGTGTTTAAAAAAAAATAAATTCTGAATGTACAATTAAACCATCACTTGACAAAATTAATCAGTGACACCTGTTGACTTCATAATTACTTCACCCTGGAAAATTTTGGAATGAATTTTCCAATGCGTGTACTAGAGCCCCATGGTACAGGACATTGTAGGAAACCAGACTGAATACTTTTTTTTAAATATCTACCTGTTTTTTCAACAAAGATTGAACTCGTTGGGCTTCTTCAATGGCATCAATGTATAAAGGGTAAAATATTTTTTATTTCTTTACAAACTATAGCTGAACATTTATATAAGAAACGTTTTATGTGCATCTAATTAGTGGGATAATGCATTATACTTTCTTATCAAAATTAAGTTCTATGTATCTAGGAATTAAACATACAATTCAACCTATATTTAATTAATACAAGGACAATTGTATTTGACACAGAGGCTGTCTGCTCTAAGACATTCTAAGTATGAAATAAGAGCAAATTATTGGCATGAATATGATTTTTTTTTGTGATTATGAAAATAAATATAAACTTATTTAATTAAGAGTGCTTTAAAAATAAAGTGTGTTAGGTTTCTCCTAGTTTTTGCTGTTACCATCCATGCTCGTCTTTACTGTTTAGTTCCTCTTCTATTTTTGAATAGCCTTCAAGTTAAGCAAAATATGGCAGTAGTCTCATCAGTCCCATAATTTATTAAATGCCTTCCTAGGTATTTTATATGTGTGGTACATGATCATATAAACAAAGTATGATTGGGATTTTTGGAGGTTTAGGTTTATCAAAATACTGTTCCCTGCAGAGAAAATAGACTGGAGCATAGCTAGTAAAACACTCATTCGTATTGATCCAGAGTAATGTAAGGGAATGTTCTGGATCCATGTGGACTCCTTACAGACAGTCACTGCAGGGAAGAGCCAGCCAGGGCTTGAAGCCAGCACAGTTGTAGCAGCAGACAAAAAATAAGTAGGGGCTACTGATACCATCAAAGCCCTTAGTACTGTCTTCACTGTGAACCTTTTCCATTGATTATGAACCTTTTCTATTGATTAGTGATGTGTTCTAATGCATCCTTTCCCTTCCCTTACTTGGTTTTCTGTTTAGCTACTTCCTCTTCCTGCATACCAACCTGAATATCCATACTTAAAAAAAAAAAAAAAAAAAAAAAAAAAAAAAAAGTAACAATTGGTGGAAAAAATGGCTACATCAACAGTACTGTCTACTTAGCTTGTTTTGGCTTGTTTGTTCTGGTCCTTTCCTTTGCTTGTCTTATTTAAACAGATTCTGAAATATTTGGATGATATTTAAGTAATCTTCTAGCACAGAGTGGTCCTTAGGTGCAAGTGGAATAAACAGGTGTAATATAAATAAATGCATCTGAATTGAAGAATATTGTAGTTTTCTCTTGGTCAAATAATCTCTTAAAAACAGGAAGTTCTATTAGATTTGTAGGTGGACCAGTAGAAACATAAATTCAATGTTATAATCACTCCCATGACTATTTACAATCTCTAAAACATTTTTTTTTTTTTTTTAATATGCAGGAATCTGAAGGGTGTTATAGTTACTCTGAGTGAAAATGGACATCTGCAGTGTTCCTACCTTGGAACTGATCCTTCATTCTTCCAGGCTCCTAGAATTGAGTCTAAAGAAGTAAACTATGAAGAATTCAATGCTGAAATGAAAGAGCTTCAGAAAATTATCAGGGAAGCTATGAAAACACAAGGTATATTACTCTCATTTATATAAAAGTACTCATGTTTAACCAACTGGGTTTCATTTGTTTGTATGTACAGTTTATATTTATTTTTTCATAATGCCTATTGGAACTTTCAAGATATTTACGGTCAATTGCAGATAATTCTCATTAATGCAAGGACGTTGATGATAAAAATGACATTGCATATACTATCCAACAGCAAGAAAATTTCAGTAATTTCACAGCAACAGCCTGCTATACCTCTCACACTTCAGAGAGAGCAGAAATATTGTCAAATTCTCTGCTTTGTTATTACAAATTTTCTTAAACATCATGCAGTTAATAAAGAATGACTTGTGTTAAAAACAACTTTTCTGTTGCTTCTTTCAAATGCAATTGTATTTGAAAAACATACTAAGAGATACAAAAAGCCAATTAAATTAACATGGTAAACTGGAATTTACCCACAGTGCACACACTGGGCACTGGAACAGGCTTCATGCTCTGGAACAGGCTTTTCAGGGAAGTGGTGACAGTACCAAGCCTGTCAGAGTTCAGAAAGTGTTTGGACAACGCTCTCAGATACATGGTTTGTTTTTTAGGTAGTCTTGTGTGGAGCCAGGAGTTGGACTCAATGATCCTCGTGAGTCCCTTCCAACTCAGGATATTCTTTGATTCTCATAATTTGCATTGAGTTAGTTAAGTATCAGCACATGATTTCTACAAAGATCATGCAAAACTTGTATTTCCATAACTGAGTTTTTAAACAGTGGATCTAACTCTCGCAGGGAATTGGAAGCATATGATTCTACAGAAAACTGTCTTAGACAAATAGAAAGAACCAATTAAAATCTCTTCTTGCTGATAGTTAGCATGTTCTTAAAATGCATTAAAGAAATAGTTGTGGTTTTCTTTGCTGAAAATTCCTAGAAAATGAGAAGAGATTTGTAAACTACACTCAGAAGCTTGATTCTACAGTGCAAAGACTTTTTTTTGTAATTAAATATAACTTTGTCAATTATTGTTATAATAGACTAATTTAGGTTGTTTGTTTAATTTAACAAACCCAGTAATTTGTTATTTAAACATATATGCATGTGTGTAAAATTTTGTTGCTTTTACCACAGCCCTTCTTATAAGTATTTGAATGCTTTGTCTGGCTATCATAACCAAAGGAAAGAATAGCATGATGGAAGGAATAAATCCCTTCATGAAGTGAATAAATGTTTGTGTATTTATCTTAACACATTGTATGGAAGATATTTAGAGTAAGAACACATAACCGTCCTTTGTAACTTTTCTAGTAAAAATGTGATAGTATAAGACTGACATATTTTCTGTGAGTATTGATGACCTTTTAACTTTACTCATTTGTTTTTAATTTGTTGTTTTTTGTTTGCTTGCTTGTTTGTTTTTTTCTTCCTCAAGATCTTTCTAATCTGATTTAAGGTATTGCAGTGGTGGTTTCAGATGAGTTTTTATGAATGTTCTCTTTATTGTGGAGATATGCTCTAATGAAATTTTTTTACTGGTTTAACTGGATGTAAAGCTTGTTGGAAAACTTTTCACTTAGTTATGAAGAATGCCTTTCAGTTTAGGATGTTTTGGCTGTGTTTCATTTTGGCTTTTTTTAGATCTTTTAGCTAAGTCTTAAAATAACCGTTAATCATAGCTGGTTGAATACAAAATACCTTTGAGTGCTGGTCACCATTCAGTTACTCTAAACATGATCTTTAAAATGAACCATTGATTTTTCTGTCTTGTGATTTCACATGTATGCAGTAAGAGCTGGTGTTGTTTTGAAAACATATACCCTTACATGGAAATAATTTTTCTTTGTTTCACTTTGACTTCCAAAAATGGAAAGCATTTAGAATTAGGTCATCATATAAAAAACTTAGAGCAGTTATTTCCATAAATAAGTCATGTATTTCTGTTCAGTGCTGACCATTAAACTGTTGAACTGTAGTTGTTTTAGACATTTTTGAGAAGAAGTTTTTATATTACAAACTGATGAAATATTTTTAAATACATAACTGCTAAGGTAACTTAACTCTAACGTTACTTGCATCAGTCTGGATGACATAAGCAATTAACCATAGGTGTTTGACTCAGTTTAATATCAAGAAAAAAACAGAAGCTTACGTGTGGTGAGGCACACGCACAGTTTACTAGAGAAGCTGTGGATGCCCCATCCCTGGAAGTGTTTAAGGCGAGGTTGGATGGGGCCTTGGGCAGCCTGGTCTAGTAGAAAGTGCCCCTGCCCATGGCAGAGGGGTTGGAATTAGATGGTCTTTAAGGTCCCTTCCAACCCAAACCATTCTAGGATCTATGTAAACATTGGTCTGTGTCCTATTTCTAACAGAGAGATGATAGCACAACAGAAGTTGCATCATACTTTGCTTGAAAAAACATCCTGAAGGAGAAATGGTTAAGTAGGGCTAGAAAAGGAAGATATTTTCTTGTCCATACATGTGCAAAGGATTGTGTTGAGTCTTATGCAATTGTCAGAACCAGTTGTGTGGTCATGGCACTATGAAACAGACTTAGGCTTCTTTAGTAGGTGATCTTGGAGGAAGTAAAAATTTTCTTTGAGCACAAGAAAATGAAATCTTAATTTCTCTGTTTATCTTAATAGTTTTTTTCCAATGACTCTCTTATTAGAAAGAGACATAATGTGCTTCTTACTAGTTGTGGGTTGTTTTCAGGACCCTATTATACAATACAATTCTTGCAGCTTTCTGAATGTGTTCATGCAGTCATTTTTCCAATGAAAATGTTAATTTCATCTTTCATTAAGTTTTTTACTGTTTGTTACTTTAGGAACTATGAATTTCCTGCCTTTTTTTTTTGTTTGTTTGTTTTTCCCTGACACATTTGGTTTTGAGAGATAGAAGTGCATTGCAGAAAGACACAAATACCACAGAGCTAGACTTTTTTCTTTCTCTTTCCTCTTCTTTCTCTGCCTTCAAAATGATTATATAATTTGTTATGGTATTTAAATGCCTTGCTTTTAATCCTTGTGATATTTTTTGCATATGTGAATCTGTATAAGTTTTTATATCATGCATATAAGTGAGTTCATGGCATTCTTTACCTTCTGTGTTAACATTCCTGGAAATAATCAGGTAACATATTGTAACCAAGCCCTATATAACATAAAACACTCTTAAACCTTTAAAAATCTGTTTTAGTTATGCTACAGATGTTATGTTCTATGTTAGGCAGAACATTTCTGTCAGGCTTATTATCAAATTATTTAGATGAAAATGCACCAAATGAGACCTGTGCTGTGTATTTTGGAGATGGTTGTTTACTATAGGTGTACTATTATATTCACATGTGGAAATATGTTTAAACAAAACAAAAACTTTCTCATATTTTTCCTGGGACTGGATCATGAATAGTATATGTAAAATCCTGTTGTAGAATGCATCTAAAACTTTTTTTTTTTTTTTTTTTTTTTTTTTTTTTTATGCACAAATCAGGTTTAGGCTGTCTATAGAAATTGTACAAAACTCAGAACTTTCTTTGTTCAAAGAGCATATGCATTGTTTTTTTTCATTAGAGTAATAGGTGTAATTATGTAAAAGTCTGGAAATTGATGCTCTTGGAATTGTATTTAGGAATGTAGATGCATAATTGAAGGAGAGCTGAATGATTTTTCTTGTTTTCTTTCAGATATTTTACCCCAGTCTGAAAAACGGAGAGATCTAATTGTCACTGCAGAAGTTTCACCAGATTTGGATGCAGAATCTGTATGTACATGTATAAAACGAAATAGCAAACCTTTTTGAAAGTCATAGTAGCCCCTTTTTGCAAGCAGTGCCAAATCTTAGGTGCAGTGTTCAGATCTGCCTCGGGTGGACCAAGCCATGTTCAGCTGGGTGCCAGGTTTTATGCAAAGCAGCTAACAGTCCAAATTCATTGTATTTCAGATGTCTGCTGTCCCCATGTGCATAATTTACAACTGTGTACTGTGACCACTTCTTGGTCCTGCTCTTACTTAGTGCTATTTGCCTCCATGGCTTTTCATATGGTCCTGGGACTTCAGGGACTTTCAGACAAATAAGCGAACAGACTGTCTCATATCTACTGCTACCTGACATGTTGCTCTCCATCATGCAATTGTGCTGTTAATAACCACTAACTTGCTATTATCATTATAGCATATGTTTAGAGACTACATTCTAATGCTTTAGAGTTTTAACAGGCTTTCCTCTGTCTTTAACAGTTAGATCACTGGGAGAGGGAATTAGAAATAAATTGAAAATCAGTCAATAACTATACCTTTAGCAATTTACTTATATAAAATACTGCACAATACTGAGTTATTAAAGTTCACTGCTGCCTGTTGGGTAAGTGGATGTAAGTTGTACACTTGAGCTTTTTAGATTTGAAAACAGCAATGAAATATGAGGTATTTTTGTAAGAGAAATGTACATACCATAGCTCTAATGATTATAAAATTAACAACTTGCAATGCATAAGTAAGCATATGCTATTTTTCTTCTTTTTTTTTTTTTTTTAAAAAAAAATAATAATTAAGGCTGCTTGCAGTCATATTTACTGTTTGAGGTAATGTTGTCTTGTGCACTTTTCTGGCCTATTTCTCAGTTTGTAATAAGCCTTATCCTCATAATGATAGTTGAAACATCTGAAATAGTGACTTCTATTTGTTTATATTTATGGGACTGAGTTTCTGCATAGCACCCACTTGTCCATCAATTAAAACACGTTTTTGTTAATCATTTTAACTTGAGTAAATAAAATCGCTTAGTATCTTTTTTTTTTTTTCTTGGGACCTTTTCAATTCTTGGCTAAGCAAAAGTAGGTGGAGAAACTTTCTTAGGATCTGGGATAACTTTGTAATAATGAGAATTGTTAAAGCAGTTACTAATGTGGGGGGAAACAGAAGTGTAGTCCTGTGGATCTTTTAAAGATAGAATGTACTAATCACTCAATAATGCAATGTAATGAGTAATCTTCAGCAAGGTATCATTCAATATTATCTGGCATAGCGGCCTAGATAGAGTTTTTTGCTCTTATTTGCATATGTAACTTATGAAAAACAGTTCAAATTAACATTTAGGTGACCTTATATTGTTGCTTAAAGGTTTTTCATGTGAGACTTTCAGAAACATGGTCGTTGTAACATAACATCTGTAATTAGTTGTATCTAGCCACTGATTTCTACAAAACTAATTTTTCATGACTAATGTTTTAAAAATACACAAAACTGCTTTTAAGTACTTTTATACGTCTATTTGATAACTTTATTTGAGTCTATTTTTATTACTGCTGCTGCTGATACTAGTTGATGAAGAGACCTTTTTATAATATGGCCTAGCACTTGCCTACAGAAAAGACTAGTTGATGGTAAAAAAAAAAAAAAAAAAAAAAGAAAGGAAGAAAGGACAGTGACATGATCTTGGCTAATTGTAATAATCTGCTCACATCAATTAAATTGTTAGGCCTGTAGAATGCTCTAATCTTGTACTCATTTGCTCAATCTTCCACTTGTAGATGGTCTGCTTTGGATATAAGTAACTCAATATACCAAATGAATCATGGCCTTGAATCTTTATTGCCCAAGGCCATCCATATATTTTAGTTTCCTGAGACGTAGCATTTCCTAGATGTTCCTTCAGTATCTATCTAGGAAGGAAATGTATAGTAAGACACTTAATGAGTTAGAATCAATAAAGCAGATGTGAGAATAATTTTAGGGCTTCTACAGGTTTGCGAATACTACTTCTGCTCATTTGAAGAGATTTAAATTGTGATGTGTGGTAGGAGCAGAGCATAAAGATATATTAGAATGGATTAGATAATCAAATGGAGGACCATTATGGTTATTTGACACCACCTCCTAAGCACAGCCTCTGATTCAGGAACTCCCAGCTGATTTCTGAAAGCTGAATATAGTAGACCAGGGCAAGAATCAGTCTCTTTGCACCCATGTTATTTCTTCAGGATCATCCACTAGTCACTGTCAGAGTCAGTGTACTTGACAAGCCAATCATCTAATCCAGTATGGAAGACCCTATGTTTTTATATTGTGAAAAGGCATACAGTAGTTGAATGAAAGTCCTACTTCTAGAGAGAGCCTACCAACTTCCTGACTTCTTAGGAGCTTTGCATATGTGAACTTCATAGTGGCATGCTGGGATGAAAAAGAGTGGAGATAGAGCACAGTGGATTGTTTTAAATTTACTCTTATAATGAGAAGGTACACATTCATGTGAGGAATTTAGTATTACAGCAGTAGTGAAGTATTCCTTTAAAATAAAGTGGTTCAAACATATTGGAACACTTCTTAAACTGTTGAGACAACCCTGATGCAAAATGAAATCTGAGCATATAACAAGATATTAAAACAGGCTGTAGTGCCAAGATGAATTTTTCATTAGATGGAATTGCATCTTGAAATAGATGTAAGTGGGAATAACAAAATGCCTGCCATAATATTCTTTTGAAGTTCAAAATATATTTCTGATTAGAAGATTGTGTGCAATGAGTTTGTAGTACGTGCTAAGATGTGTATATAATACATTGGCAGATTGGAGGTCACCTTTCCCTACTGAGTAACAGGAGGAGTTTCCAAAATTGAAATAAATATACAGTAGGAAGAAGCATGCCAAGCAAAACAGTTTCAAATATTCATATATACATCAAAGTGTATTAGTTCCTTATATACACAACATTCATGACCTTTTGCTATCCTTTTTGCAGGCAATTTCAAACAGAGGCTTTACGTTTTCAGGAGCTCAGAAATGTATTTTGTGTATTTTAATCTGTCATCAGAATGATAAGTCCTTTACAGTTAATTCCCTATTTACCAAACTGATGTTAGGAGAGTAATATTACATTCATTGTGTTCATTCATTCATGTGTAATATTGAATTTACTCTGTTTTCATCTTTTTCTTCACAGAAAGCCATTGACAGTGAGGTAAAAGCAGAGGTAGTACCATCAGTAACAGTAAAGGTACTGTGCCTTACTCAAACCATAGCAAACAGTGATGACAAATTTTAGAAAACCTGTAATATTTTCTGTGTATTTCACTTGGATTATGAACATGAATAGAATTTGAAATGCTGTTATATACTTTTTGTTCCTTCATATAACAGGTGTTTATCTTGCATGCCTTCTGTTGAAGTGGTTAGAATCTTATTTCTGTGATGTTTATCAAGAAACAAACAAACAAAATAGGGTGGAGGGGAAGTAGTTCTTGAAGTTTAAGAATATTTTTCCAATACTTTTCAAAGGGAATAAATATTTACTCAAAATTTGAAGGTGATCTCTAGCTGCCTTTTCAGTTGTCAATAAGTAAAAATAGACTTTCTCTTGTAAAAACAATCTCACAGTATTTGTTAGTACAAAAAAGCCAGGAAATTTTAATTTGAAAACTGATACAATTGCAGCCCTCCCTGGGGACTGTTACCTCTGATTCTAAAGAAAGTATAAATGTGCATATGTGTGTACATGTGTGCAAGTGTAGTTTCTCCTCAGTATTGCGTAATATATTTATATATATATATATATTTTTTTGAATTTGAGAGGCTTATGTAGCAGTTCAGGTGGAGCAAAATTAGGGCTTTGTTTCTGAGAGCCTTGCAAATTCTGCCTCTGTCTTGAGTGACAGAGCCTGACTGGACTATTAATTGAAATGAATTCCCTTATATTACTGTAACTTAGTTGTATTTAGCTCAGCATCTTTCTCTACACTTTAAAATGAAGTGACCTATTACAAAGGAAAGTATTATATATACAACTACCAAATTCCATTTTGGTAGAGAGGCAATGATTTCAATATCAGGAACATGAATAACTCCCATCATTCTCTCTCATCTGCTTTTTACTGTAAGGCAAATGAGAAACGTTTAAAATATGTATGCATGTATTTAAACACTTGATAAGCTTTTTAATGGGAAGACTTTTCTTTCCCCTCCTGTTTACGCATTTTATGTGTTTTAATGAATCAAAAAGTAGTAAACCTAGTTTTCATTCATGCAATTATTTCCACCTTTTTTTTTCCTGTGATGTTAATTTAACTGATCTTCATATATGTCTCCATTCAAAATAATAGCACGTGATGGAAAACTCATTATAGTTAATGTATTCATTTATTTAGTATTTGAAAAGTTATAAGTGTTGTTTTTATTCAAGTAAGAAATAATTGCATGTAATGTTTGCATGGTATGATGCTTGTCAGGCTAATTTGAACTGGAACACTGAATTAGGACAAGTTAATGACAACATTTTATAAAAATCCAAATCAAAATTAAATATTTTCTTGAGTGATAGAACTACAAACACTTTATACATATAAACTTGTAACTTTTCTGCAAAGTAGGTGTTGCTACTAATTAATGTTCTTTGGTCATTGTAATAGAGGCCATTGTACCCACAAAAAATCTTCAGGCAATACATTATGCATTAAAAAATTTCCAACACTTGAGACACTTAATATAAAATCTTTTTTTTTTTTTTAATACTTTTTTAAATTTTATACAAACCAGAGGCCTGTCAGAAAAAGTTTTAATAAAACTAGACTCTTGACAAAAGTTACAGTATAAGAGGATCCCTCTCATTCCATATGTAAGCTCAGGCTTACATACATCAGAAAGCCAAACATAACCGAGCAAATTCTCTACAACTGCAGTTGAGTGCAGAAGATGCTTAAAAACATCCTTGACTCACCTGGTTTGGAGGGCTGGGCTTCAGGCTGGAATGCATGCAAGCAGGATGTTGGCAGCTCTAAGTGGTTTACAGCCCTTTCATACCTTAGAGATTGTTGAAGATTTGAGTTTGTAAAGTAAACTGATAAATTATGCAGTTGGTGCTCCCACTGGAAAATGTGTAGATGTTGCCTAAATTAGATCTGAAGTGACCTATTTGGGTATAGTAGCTGCTTTAGAAAGATGATAAATAGATAATCGGTTTGGACCAAACTTTTTTGTGGTTGTAGTCAGCAGATCTGTCAGTGCCCAGCTGGTTGGCTTAAAGATAATGCAAGTGGGTTTACATAGCTGCATTCATTGAATTACATTGGACCTGAAACAGTTCAAGGCTGAGGGCAAAAATGACTTTTTAGAATTGTGTGCCCTTCTTTTGGGGCTGGGGCATGGAACAGATTGTCTCCGAAAGTAATTTGTGAAAAACATTGTTTTGCTTTTGAAGAAATGCTCTGAATAAAGTTTGGCAGTGACTTCAAATGTCTCTGTCTTGACTATAAATTTTCTGAGGTGTGTATTCTCATATCTGTATGTTTTTACCTGACTTAATTAGCATAATAAATGTAAGTGCATTGATTTCTTCTTCACTGTTTCTTTTATGGAAATTCTGGCTTCAGAGAATTCTGGCTTCCTAACACTTCAATCATTCTATTACATGAAGTATTTTCCTAAAATGGTTTTACCTGTCCATAGTGAGCTACTTGGTAGACCAGCAATACAAAACAGATGATAATGGCAGTTAGTGTCCGTGTGTATACAGGCCATAGAATCATTTACGTTGGGAAAGACCTCTATGGTCACCAAGTCCAACCATTAACCTAGCACTGCCAAGTCTACCATTAAACTATGTCCATAAGCACCGTATCTACTTATCTTTTGAACGCTTCTAGGGGTGGTGACTCAAGCGCTTCCCTGAGCTTTCTATTCCAATGCTTCACAACCCTTTCAGTGAAAAATTTTTTCCTAATATCCAATGTCAACCTCCCCTGGCACCAGTGGAGGCCATTTACTCTTGTCCTATCACTTGGTGCTTGGGAGAAGAGACCTATCCCTATCCCTATCACTACAACCTCCTTTGAGGTAGTTGTAGAGAGAAATGAGGTCTCCCCTGAGACTCCTTTTCTCTAGGCTAAACAACCGCTGCTCCCCATAAGACTTTTCCCTAGACCCTTTACCAGCTTTGTTTTCCTTCTCTGGATACTCTCAAGCACCTCAACTTCCTTCTTGTACTGAGGGGCCCAAAACTGAGCACAACTCTTGAGGTGCGGCCTCACCAGAACTGAGTACGGCGGTACAATCACTTCCCTGGTCCTGCTGGCCACACTATTTCTGATACAAGCCAGGATGGTCTTGGCCTTCCTGGCCATACTGCTGGCTCATATTCAACCAATGCCCCAAGTCCCATTCCACTGGGCAGCTTTCCAGACACTCTTCCCCCAGACTGTAGTGTTGCATGGGGTTGTTGTGCCCCAAGTGTAGGACCATGTTCAGATGTAGGTCACCAAAGTACTTTCTTTTTAGACTTGACTTAAGGACATTATTTTGATAACCATTGTTTTTGTAGCCTGTTCTTTCTGCAGTAGAAGCAGCTCTTCCAGCTTTATAGTTAGGTCAGCTCTTGTAATCTAGAGATTTAGTTGTGCTGGGTATCCTGTATATGGAGTTTTAGAGTTTGTTTCTGTAAAAAAATTTAATAGAACTTAATTCTAAAGTTATTCAGAAGACCGTGAATTGTTCTTTGCAGTTAGAGGAAATAACTTAGGTTAGCTTTGTTCTCATTAATTTATTTATTTATTTTGCTTTAGTTATCTAAAAAAGGCAATATTTTTATTTTTATCACATTGAAAGAAATGCACATGACATTTGGAAAATATTTTAATATGTTAACTAGCAGTTTAGCATTAGGTTGCCTTTGCTTAAGGTTACGAAGAATGTGAGAAGTCACCTCTTCTTTTTTTTAGTTGCGTTTTAAGTTGTTACTTCATACCATTGTAGGTAAATAAGAATTGTAAAAGGAAAATATTATTTTTGCAGTTGAAATTTGAAGTTCTTAAACACAATCGCTGAATACTCTTTGCAGATTTTTGTTTTTGCTTTTTTTTTTTTTCTAATCATTTGCTATACAGAAATTAAATTATTCCTTTATTTAAGTACTTCTGTGTGTCAATTTCTTTAGGTAACAGTACAAAGCAGGGTGACTGCACAGAAACCAAACCTGTCAGTATGTGTACAAGCTCCATTAGCAGTGACCTGTGACCAGTTCGTCTTCAATGATTTAGGTAAATTTTTATAGCACCGTTACAGATATTTTATCATATTACTTTTTCTGAAGATGTTTGAGAGATATCATACAGCCTCTATCAAGTGCATAGTTGGAGATACTGCAGTGCAAGTAGTTACAAATGTGCCTTATGTACACTCTGCAGATTTTATTTTCTGTTTGTTGAAGAAGACAAAAATAATTATATAGGAATGGAGTTGCTTCCTTGGTTACAGTGTGACACATGGCAGGTGAGAAGAGACAGGGTGAGAGTTTCATGATGGAGAAAGAAAATCAGTTATTGTTTGGTGCTTTCACTGGGGTGTTTTGTTTTGCTGGCAGTTCTGTTTATGTAGAATGGCACTGGTGTTCTAAAAGGAGGGACAGGAAACTTGACCTGTGGCCAGTCTAGTGATGTTCCCAACTTAGTATTAACTGTGGAATGATCATAGCCTTCTTCCAATAAGGTCACAGGTAGGATCGCCTTGAAAGTTGTAAATGTTTTCCAAGAAGTAGAGAAGTGTGTCCTGCTGCCTCAGCTGGAACTGTAGACCACTTATGCTCTGAAATGCTCAGTACTGGACCCTATTGAAACAGAGCTTTACCTGACTGCTGCTCTGATCTTAAAGGACAGTTCTTGTGTTTCCTCAACAGGTGAAAGGAACAAAGAGCTGATGGCTTTGTGGAATATTAAAATTGCCATGTAAAATTAGATTTGTTTTTGAGGTTTTCTGTGTTAGGTGTGCTGAGTTGTTTCACTGGATATGCCTTATGCTAGTTTCTACTCAGAGAGAGTAATTTGTCATTTTCTAATTACATATTTCAAGAAAAAAATACTTCCACCTCCCCCCAAATAAGCATGTTCAGGGATTTGATAAAGGTGAATGAATAGAAACGACTATCCTAATTTCATAGAATATTTCCTGAAGTACAGGATTTTTTTTTTTTCCATTTGGATGCTCTTATTACTGGATTTAATTTTGTATTATTTTTAGAACCAGATTCATCTGAAACTGTGGTCCTGTCTGTCTTTTTGAAGGGGAATTTTCCTCCATCAGAACTAGAAGGAAATTGTGTGGTTTCATGTAGTGCACCAACAGGTGAGCCACTGAAGATTTCAAATTACACTGAAAATTTCAAATTTACATTTTTAAGGTATTTCTTTACATGTTTCTTGTCATCTTTCTTTTGAAAAAAAAAGGCAGTTAGTAATTGAAGAATTAATAATGTATATTAGAATCTAGTCTTCACTTGTTTTAGTTAATATTATATGTAGCATCATCAAATTATATAATCAGTTTTAAAGAGGTAAAATCATATGCTTGTGGCTTGGGAAGCAGTTATACCAGCTTTCCCACCCTGCCCAATCAATTTGCTTCTGTTCTGCTCTTTAAGGAACCATCTCTTGGAGCGAGAAGTTAATTACATCTTTATGACTATTCAGCCTTCTGGGTCTGCCAACAAATGTGACAATAACTGCCTCCATACAGAGGAAGAGGACTTGAATAAGCTTTGGGAGTGATTATTCCTCACTTCCCCTTAACAGCTGAATGTATTCATTCTAAACAAATAAATTGACCCAAAAGAATAGAAATTAAGTAGTTCTATTTTATAGACCCCTAATGACGCTATTAATAGAATATGCAAATTTACCCTGCTATCCATAACTGAAGACTAATTCACTTAGTTTTCTACACACAGCCTTGGGAATATGCATCAAGCTACATGAGAAACTGTACTTAGACAGGGCTTCCATGTTAAGTTAAATGCAGCATAAACCAGTTTAAGCAATCTGTTCATTCTTCACTTCTCACTGCTTGGCTTTGCTTCTGCACCTCCTCCCCTGTTGTGCTCACACAATCGGCAGTTATTTCTTAACCAGATTTGCTGATTTGGTTCATTGTGCAAACACAGAGAGCTGTGCCAGCACAGAAGGAAGGGTGATACGAAGTGGGCTAGCATCAAAGAAATGCACGTGGAGCTAGAGCTTCTGAGGGGTGGTGATCTTGAGTACATTATCCTATGTATGCACTTTTATTTAAGCATTTACTTCACATCACATCTCACTTGAAACAGAGTATTTATGATGATAGTCTAGCTTGTGTGTTGATTGTTAAAATATTTATCTACTTCTAGACAAAAGTGAAACTCATGGTTTTTGAAGAACTTAACCTTACCCTTGTTAGACTAGGCTTGAAGATATGTACAGAGGAAGGGAAGGAAAAGGATATTCATCACTTTTTTTTTTTTTTTTGAAAGCCTGCACAAACATCTGGTACAACTTCAGTCCTCCTGTATGGTGACCCTCAAACTATTTATTCCTTGTGAATGAATTTCTGTAACTTCCAAAGCATCCAGTTTAAAGTGATGTGGATTTAGACAGCTTGTGTAATGTGACTATAGGTAGTATACTTTTGAGTGCCTTGGATCCTCTGATTCTGAAAGCATGCTTTATCTTTTGCTGGCTTTGCTTCTGTAATTTTGCTTTGAAAGATGAAAATATCAAATTTAAATTATATTTCTCATATTCAAATGAATTTATTATTATTTCATTCAGGTGATATTAGCTAAACTTATATTTTTAATTATTAGGTTGAATTTTGCAAGGTTAGGAAAGCAAAGTATCTTGTATCTTGAATATGTTTGCTTATATACACTAAAAAAAATCTCCGGAAGATGACATCTAATAAAATCTGTAAAGTGTAGCAGAACTTTCTATCATTTAAGTTTTTTTAATTTGCAAGACTTCTCAGTAAAAGAATATAAATGTTAATATCTTACTAAATTTTGGATATTAATTAAAATTATTAAGCTGGGATAATTCTGTTCAATTACATACTGATACCAGTGCATATGCTGCTTGTACAAGGCAATTAAATCCTTAAGTAATGTCCTAGGACACAAAAATTAACTGCCTTTCTGACTTCATTTTATCTAAATAGAGACCTTTTCCTCTTTTGTTTTTAAGATACTGTGTTCGTGGCCAAATCAGTCTTCAGTGTATCTCTGTGGGATTCATACTGCGGAAGGTTAATGAGTCACTCAGTTGGATAGGATTGTGCTATTGATGAATGTGGTCTTATGTCTGTTTTTTGGCTAGTATTAGGTTTTTATGTATTGTCTATTTAACAAACATGGCTTAAGTTTTTTAAAACCTGTTACTACATTTTCCTTTTTCTCTTATTTAAGTAGCATCTTATGTTTTATTCTTTTTTCCCTTTTGTGCCATTGCTGGTTATACCATAGAGCTCAATCCTGAAGGTAAGTGAATGGAAAAAAATGCAGATTTTAATGATCTCATGAACAAGAATACTGAACAAAAGCATATTTGCAAGTGAGCTGTTACTTTACCTATTATTTCTATACACTTTGTTACTTTTCTAGGTTAGAGGGTGCTATGAAGACATGAGTATTTGAGGAATTTGAAAGTGAATGAGGCTTAGAAATAAGAAAAATAAAGTCCATGGGGAGAATAGGAAAGTAGTAAAGACATTTGCTGAAGTATGCCACACTTCAACATATGTACCATAGACTTCTTATAATTTAGTAAGTGCCTTGAACATTGAGATTAGAAATGGAAAACACAATTTTATGCTCTTTCACTACCATATTTTTGGCAATTTTTCCAAGTTTCAGTAAGAACTCATCAGGTGGTTAAATTAACTGACATGCAACTAATTAACTAATGGCAACTGAATCTACTACTAAGGATTTGTAGCTAATGTTATGCCGTTTGGACAAAGTAGCTCTAAGAATGATGTCACTAACATCTATTCATTCCAATTTCTGTTGGAAACATCTTATTCAAGGCCAGAAGGCATCTTTACAACTGAGAATAATACCTGTGCCAAACTTTGCCAGTGGTAGATGTGATATTTACAAAAGGTACAATTAAAAGACAGAACAGGCCTAGAAAAGTAGCTAAATAAGCTAAAAAGAGGGAAAGATTGTTTTGCAGTGTAGTTGTGTACGTGTGTTGGAAAGATACAGTATCTGTAAGAAATATTTAGCTAACTTAAAGAAATATGTTTTAAATACAAATTCATCAACATCTGGGGGGAAATAAAATTGCTTGTCCTGGATTTAGAGATCAACTGCAAGGATTTCTTAAGTGTGCAGTTTCCATCTAAAGAGAACTACATTTTAGATACATGTATACTTGAGTCTTGTTTTTCAATATTTATGCTCTTATGAGCATATTAAGAGAAGTGAAAAAGTAGATAACTCTGTTAATGGTTCCCTTCCTTCTTCTGGTTTCTGCATATTTCAGGGGTTCTTGAGATGCTGTACAGGAAATAGGTGCTTGAACTGTCTCAGCAAAATACTGCTCTTGGCAAGAATATTTGTTTCCCTGTGGCAGGTTTTTAACGTCCACAAAGTTTAAAAAATACTATAACTATAATAATTTAAATATGTAAAATGAGTGTATATAATTGGAAAGCGTGACATTCTAAAACCGAGGATTTGGATTTTCTGTTTTAAGAAGTTTGTACTCAATACTGAAACCTGTTGATGCTTAAGAGAATACTGTGGCACACAGTGAATTCTCCCTGGCAAATTTGTTTTGGGTTACTCTAAGGTGCACTAAACTAGATATATTCATACCATCAATACCAGAAAAGGTTTGAATTCTCTAAATTTTTCCTATCCTAAATTAAAGATCCTAACTTGAATGCTTTTTTATGTGCATCAGATGTTGTAATTGACATGATTAAGATGAATGAATCACAGAATCATCTAGGTTGGAAGACACCTCCAAGATCACCTTGTCCAACCTCTGACCTAACACTAACAAGTCCTCCACTAAACCATATCACTGAGCTCTACATCTAAACGTCTTTTAAAGACCTCCAGGGATGCTGACTCCACCACTTCCCTGGGCAGCCTGTTCCAATGCCTAATAACCCTTTTGGTAAAGAAGTTTTTCCTAATATATGACCTAAACCTCCCCTGGCGCAACTTTAGGCCATTCCCTCTCATCCTGTCACTGGGCACGTGGGAGAATAGACCAACCCCCACCTCTCTACAGCCTCCTCTAAGGTACCTGTAGAGAGCGATAAGGTCGCCCCTGAGCCTTCTCTTCTCCAGGCTGAACAAACCCAGCTCCCTCAGAACAAGTAGGACTTGTTCTCCCGACTCCTCACCAGCTTCATTGTCATTCTCTGGACACGCTTGAGCACCTCCATGTCTTTCTTGTAGTGAGGGGCCCAAAACTGAACATATGAGCACACTGCTGGCTCATATTCAGTCGACTATCAACCATCACTCCCAGGTCCTTCTCTGCCAGGCAGCTTTCCAACCATTCCTCTCCCAGTCTGGAGCTCTGCTTGGGGTTGTTGTGCCCCACGTGCAGGACCCGGCACTTGGCCTTGTTCAACTTCATACAGTTGACCTCAGCCCATCGGTGCAACCTATCCAGATCCTCCTGCAGAGCCTTCCTACCCTCGAGCAGATCGACACGCACCTAACTTGGTGTTGTCTGCAAACTTACTGAGGGTGCACTTAATCCCCTCATCCAGATCATCGATAAAGATATTAAAGAGAACTGGCCCTAGTACTGAGCCCTGGAGGACCCCACTAGTGACTGGCCTCCAACTGGATTTAACTCCATTCGTCACAACTCTTTGGGCCCGGCTATCCAGCCAGTTTTTAACCCAATGAAGCATGCGCCAGTCCAAGCCATGAGCATCCAGTTTCTTGAAGGGAATGCTGTGGGAAATGGTGTCAAAAGCCTTGCTGAAGTCAAGGTAGACCACATCCAAAGCCTTTCTCTCATCCACCAAGCGTGTCACTTTGTCATAGAAGGAGATCAGGTTCGTCAAGCAGGACCTGCCTTTCATAAACCCATGCTGACTGGGCCTGATCGCCTGCTTGCCCTGCAAGTGCTGCGTAATGACACTCAAGATAATCTCCATGAGCTTCCCTGGCATTGAGGTCAAACTAACAGGCCTATAGTTTCCCAGGTCCACCCTCTGGCCTCTCTTGAGGATGGATGTCGCATTTGCTAGCTGCCAGTCGACTGGGACCTCCCCTGATAGCCAGGACTGTTGATAAATGATGGAAAGCGGCCTGGCCAGTTCTTCCGCCAGTTCTCTCAGTACCCTCAGGTGGATCCCATCCGGCCCCATCGACTTGCATACATCCAAGTGCTGTAGCACGTCGCCAACCATTTCCTCGTGGATTGTGAGGGCCACATCCTGCTTCCCATCCCCTTCCACCACCTCAGGGTACCCAGAGAACAACTGGTTTTGCTGCTAAAGACTGAAGCAAAGAAGGCATTAATCACCTCAGCCTTTTCCTCATCTCTCATCACTAAGTTTCCTCCTGTCATCCAGTAGAGGATGGAGATTCTCCTTAGTCCTCCTTTTCATGTTAATGTATTTATAAAAACAACAATCTTTAACATCAGTAGCCAGATTGAACTCCAGATGAGCTTTGGCCTTTCTAATTTTGTCCCTGCACATCCTTACATCCTTATAGTCCTCTTCAGTGGCCTGCCCTTTTTTCCAAAGGTCATAAACCCTCTTTTTCTTTCTACACTCTAGCCACGGTTATCTGTTCAGCCAGGCTGGTCTTCTTCCACATTGGTTTGTCTTTGGGCATGTCGGGACAGACCGCTCCTGAGCCATTAATGTTTCCTTCTTGAGGAGTGCCCAACCTTCCCAGACTCCTCTGCCCTTCAGAACTGTCTCCCAAGGAACTCTGCCAACCAGTGTCCCGAACAGCTCAAAGTCTGCCCTCCAGAAGTCCCAGACAGCAGTTCTACTGATCCTCCTTCTGACTTCGCCAAGAATAGAGAACTCTACCATTTTGTGGTCACTCTTCCCAAGACAGCTCCTGACCACCACATCTCCCACCAGTCCTTCTCTGTTTGTGAACAAAAGGTCTAGCAGGACACCTCCCCTGGTAGGCTCACTAACCAGCTGCATCAGGAAGCTATCTTCCACGATCTCCAGGAACCTCCTAGACTGCTTCCTCTGAGCTGTGTTGTATTTCCAGCAAATATCTAGGAAGTTGAAGTCCCCCATGAGGACAAATGCTGGATATTGTGCAACTTCTGCCAGCTGCTTGTAGAACACCTCATCCGTCTCCTCATCCTGGTTTGGTGGTCTATAACTGACTCCCACCAGGATGCCTGCCTTGTTGGCCTTCCCACTGATCCTAACCCATAGGGACTCAACCTTATCATTCCCAGCCTCAAGTTCCACAACATCAAAACACTCTCTACTATGGAGAGCCACCCCATCTGTGCTCCCTTCTGGAGAGCCTACAGACATTCATTGCAGTACTCCAGTCATGGGATCGATCCCACCACATTTCAGTGATGGCAACCACATCATAGCTTGCCTGCTGCACCATGGGTTGCAGCTCCTCCTGTCTGTTGCCCATGCTGCGTGCATTAGTGTAGATGCACTTCAGTTGGGCCATTGCTTTCTCCTGTGGCCCTGGCATTGTTCCCCCTGGCTCACCTCTAATAAGCCTCATTTCATCCCTGTCCCCCTTCTTATGTAGTTTAAAGCCCTCTCAATGAGCCCTGCCAGCTTCTGGGCTAGGATCCATTTTCCCCATAGAGATAGGTGGAGCCCATCTGCAGCTAATAGCCCAGGTGCTGAGTAAAGCACCCTGTGGTCAAAAAAAACAAAATTTCTCTGTTGGCGCCAGTCTCTGAGCCATGTGTTTATCAGGTGGGCTTTCTGGGTCCTCTCTGTATCCCTCCCTGCCACTTTAGGGATGGAGGAAACCACCACCTGTACTTCTGCTCCATCTACTAAGTGTTCCTGTCCCCTGAAGTCCTGTTTGATAGCCTTCAGGCTTCTCTCTGCGATTTCATCACTGCCACCCTGGACTGTCAATAGAGGATAATAGTCAGAGGGGCGAACCAGGTTAGGAAACTTTCTGGCAGTGTCCCTGACCCAAGCCTGAGGGAGGCAGCAGACTTCTCTACAGGTAGGGTCAGGCCAACATATAGGGCCCTCTGTTCTGAGAAGGGAGTCACCTACAACCATCACCCTTCTTTCTTTCTTGGTGGAGGCAGTCTTGAGGCGTGGAGTCGACTTCCTCGCCCTAGGCAACCTCCTGGGTGGGCTTTCGACCACATCCTCACCCACGGGTCTCTCAAGCTCCAAGGCCTCAAACCTGTTGTGTATGGGCACCTGGGGAGGCGAGGCCAGTAGAGAGGGGGGTTGTCTGTGATGCCAAGCAGGGACTTGTTTCCATTCCTCCTCATCTCCTAGGTCCCCTCCCTCTGCTTGACAGGGCAGGGGGTCCACCCCTGTTTGGGGTGTCTTATCCCGGTGCCATTCTTTCAGGCCGTGCAGGGAGTTGCTCCACCAGTCTGTCTCGTGCTCACACTCCCTGATGGCCCTCAACCTCTCCACCTCCTCCTTGAGCTCTGCCAGCAGGCTTAGCAGGCAATCCACCTGCTCACACCTCAGATACATGGTGCTTCTGCTGCCCTCAGATAGCAGCAACAGGCTCAGGCACTCCGTGCATCCAGAGACCTGAACTACCACATGGTTGAGTGGGCACTCTGTCTGGGTCGCCACAGACTTTCTAGAGAGAACTTTCTGCCTACTGCAGACCATGGCAGTTTAGCTATAGGTAGACAGCCAGTAGATGAGCTGTTCTCCTGAGTGGGGAGGGATGCTCTGCGCTGTCTGAGCCCATACTGCCAGTGCAAACTGCAGCCCCATGCCCTGTTCCCCCATCCTGATTGTTGCACCTCCTAGGGGCTGCCTCTGTACGGTCGGGGAGCAAGCACTGCTGGCTCCTCCTGGCCTGGTCAGCCTCTGTCGTGAGGGCTGACAGGTGCTGGCGGCTCCCTCATCTGCCTTGAGTGGCCTCGATGCTGGAAATAAAGCTCTGACCACCTTGATACCCTGCTCCGCTGCAGAAAGCCTCTGCCCTGGGGCTGATCACCTGAGTAATTTAGAAATAAAATTGTAACAACTGTGTGTATTTTGTTACTTTTGTAAGGTAAGTACATAGTATGTCTGTCTTCAAATAATACTGTTATTATGAGGTAACCTGTTACAAAATTTGTGTTGAATTTCATATTAGAATTTTTATTTCTATATATGGCAAAGAGAATCTGAAGAGTTTTTTCACATTTTCTTCATTACTACAGTGCTGAAACTGTATCTTGAAACTGTATCAAGCGCATCATGGCTCTAGATGAAATAAGATCTATAACACCAAAGGATTGAGGAAGTTCTGGCTCCCACACTTTGTTACTCTTTTGGGCTTCCATTTAAAATTACTCTAGCAGATCTAACAAAACATTCTAAAAGTATTTCCGAATAAGAATATTGGGAATCCCAATATTTTCACTGCAGTGGTAAATATTGCTGGAGCTTTTTGGTTTGGCTTTCTTAGGTATACAGTTTTTTTGGACTCATCAACTAGAAATCTCCATAGCCAGATATTATTTGATTTAATTTTGATTCCAATTTTCTCTGAAATAATGAAAAACTTTGTTTATGATGTGGCAGATTTAGAACAGGTTGTCTAGGAAAAGTTGCTTTGAAATGAGAAGAACTTCATCTTGTTTTAAAAATAAAAATATTTCAAAATCTTTTGGGCTAGTTTTGTTACTAATATTTTCCTGTTGACAACAATTTTCCTGTTGACAGTCTCTAAGATGTTTGTATTATATTGTCATCAGTAAAATATTTTAATTAATTTTTCCATCAGACTGTGAAGATATGTTTGAATGAATCATTCTGAAAGGTCATGGATTTACTGTCAAGTATTTTTTAAGGAATTTTCCTTGGAACCCATAGATATTCTGATCTGGGGGCCTGTTTTGAGTTTTCTGCTGGCTTTACACTGATTTTTTTTTTTTTTAAATTATTTTTAAATTGTTTTAAGCTGGTGCAGAATAGCTACTTGGAAGTATTATTAGACAGCCAAAAGAATTAATGAATTGACAACTACAAAGATGAATCTGAGATTTCTAGTAACAACCCCTCTCCAACCCAAGACAAGTCTTTGGAATATTTTTTTTTTTTTTTTTTGCAAGAGATCTGTGAAGCAGCAAGCCAATAAAGAATGTTAGCAAAAAGGTTTTAGATGACTATAAATGGTTGAGCATTGTTTTTATGCTAAACTTCTCAGCTTACATGACTGACATTTGCATAGCTGTCAGTTTTATGACTTTTCTGCCTTTGTATGATCTGTATGATCTTACTTTATTCACTCTGAAAACGTATTTTAAATTCTATTGGAGTGAGTGTTGGGGTTAGTGTTTGAATTTCATGTTTTCTGGGGGAAAGAATGACTGATTGCTGTGATGACCTTAACGCTATTCTCAGTAAGGTGAGTATTGGTACCTCTAACGATGTCTGTTCCTGAAGAAAACAATGTTTGTTAGCTGCTTTATCAAAAAATCCCCCTCACAAAAGGAAAGAAAAAAAAACACAAACACAAAAACCATATAAACTGGCTGCTCAGAAAAGCGAGCATTCCATATTTCATAGTCCCTAGCATTTTCATCTTTCACATAGAACCTACTGTGCAATTTCTTACAAGCCAACCACTTTAAATAATGCTTATATTTTTGCAAATTAGAAATATTCTGATGAATGTGTTTTTGTTAGTGTTAAAACTTCCTCTTTTCTCTTGCACTATTCTGATAAATTACATGCATTATGTTATTGTATGGTGAATAGAAAGATAAAATTTAATATACCTCTGGATTATAACTGAGTATTTTAGCAAATAAAACTTACCCAATTATTTAGGAGCATTATTCATTAAAACCGGATAACCAGATCTATTCTTCTGTAGCTGAGCCTCATTTGAAAGAAAGGTACTGTTCGGCAATTTTTGGATTTCACATTTTTGCCATGAAGGCTGTTAACTGGAGTTGTGATTCCCCTTAACATGCTGTTGGGATTCAGTTATATGAGTGGATACCACTATTTAGCAGTGTTTCTGCAATGCCAGTTTTAAATGTATTATTATCAAATTGATCACAAGTGAGTATCCTGATTAAAAAAACAAACAAAAAAAATTATTTTTTTTCCAAAGGAATAGGATGAGATGTTATTAAAATTAGAAAATGTACCCATGCAGGGTATGCAATAACAATTTCTAATTACTGCAATTAATTCTGCAGATCAGGTTCATTAATTTATTCCATCCTTGTAATATTCTTCAGACTCATAGTTTGGTTAGGGATTTTTAAGGTGTGAATGTGCACCTATGTCTTTTTGTCAGAAAGGTGTCATATAAAAATAGCTTTTGATACCTGTCTATGAAGAACAGGTGCAGTTTTCATATAAAAATAACAAAAAATAATGTGTGTGTTTTTAAGGTAGTGTTCCTGATGAAAAACATGTTTCAATACATTTGATACTTTGTGTTCAAAGTATCAGGAGCAATCATGGAGCTTTCTTCTATGTTAAAATAGAATTCTTTGTCTAGAGGGTTAAAAAAATGTTGCCAATCTTTATTGCATGTTAATTGGTGTGGACACAGGTATGCAGTGGATTTGGCTAATAATGTTTGCCTTTTACATTTACTTGAAAATGTTTACTGGAAGAGGTAATTGAAAATATTCAAATGTAAAGATATTTGAGATGGAAAGTTAACAAAAGATTACATGGCTTGGGTTTTAGGCTATTCTTTAACTGCATTATAGATACCATGTTTTACCTCTTTCAGGACAGCAGTGTAAAGTATCTTGTATTCAGAAGACAGATAGGAAAGATGATTCTTTGTGTTCTTTCATTTTAGGAATACCAAAAGTTGCCCAGTGTAAATTCAAGCTGCCTTTGCGATTAATCTGCTTTCCAGCTCAACCTTCAAAATCAGCGAATCACAAGATAACTATTGATACCAATAAACCTCCCATCAGTTTTCTCACCATTTTTCCAGGTAAGTTTTAAAAAATTTCTATAATAGAAGATTTGTTAGGAACTCAGACAGGAGGAATAAGTAAATAATTAACAAAGCATTATTAACAGTATTAACAATAATTATTAACATAATTAACAATATGAGGATGTTTAAAAAGTATGGCTTGAGAGAAATGATGGAAAACATTTCAAGTTAGATAATTCACCTGGGCTAATATATCTGTCTCTGGTAAAACTTTAGATTTTTTTTTTTTTTTTTAATGCAGTGGATATTACAATACCAGTGTTGTAATGGGGAGAGACATGGGCATTCATTTTATGGAGTGGGGAGGGTGGTGTTCAGTGGGTATGAAATGTGAATACAGGAAGCAGGGTAGAGGGTAGAGTAAAAGTGGTAAATGTTCTATGAAAGGGGTGTGATTGCTTTGGAGGAAGATTTGTGAGGTCCTTGATGTATCAGTCTTGAGCTGATCCTATTAAATAATTTCATTAGTATTTTGGACCAAAAAGACAGGTGCTTTAGCAATATTTTCTGATAAGCAAAACTGAATTATGTTTCATATTCAAGAGTATTAAAGTAGCAGAAAGAAGAAATTAGGTGCCATATAGATCTAGAAAAACATGAATGAAATTAAGTATTGTAAATTATAACATTATGAAAAAAAAATCTGCTGTACTTATGTGCTCATAATTTGGCAGTGATAGAGAAGGTGGAAGTTACCACAGGAATACTCTGTGGTACAATGTGGCACAATCATAAAAAAAACAAACAGATAAGAACCTAGGCTGTATTAGACAAAATGCTTTGAGGCCAGAAACTAGTAAGGTATTGTGTACTGTCATACAGTACTGACTGCTGGTACTAAAGGTTGCTGATACTAAAGGTGAATTAAAACTCAATTTTAGAATTTTACTGTAAAAAAAGGCTGTGAAAATTATCTAGGGATTTGAAAATCATAATTAAAAGAAAAGTATTGATTTAACTTAGTATAACACAGGCAAAAAAGAAAGGGGGGGGGGAGGGTGATGAATAAACAGGGATTATAAAGGGCTTGTGAGTAAGTTTGGTCTGGCAGTGATTAAAGTTCTGAACTTCAGAGGACTAAGGTTCTGCAATACTTTTCTGATGAGAGTGGTACGGGCTGACAACTTGAGAGCAGTATTTTTAAGGTGGAGCTACTACATCTGTTTTTGGAAAGATATAGTACATTTGTCTTAGACAGCATTGGAGGAGGCATGTGGGTAGTTTTTTGTTTGTTTTTTAGTAGCATGGATTTCATAATTTTGATGATAAATATACTTCAAATTTGTGTGCTGTATAACACTGTTACCTGAAACATAAATCAATATAGATTTTAAAAATAGTGAATAAATAAATTTTATTTTAAACCCAGGGATGTGTTGAAATCATAACAAAGAGTATAGGTAATGTGATTCAGAAGAAGGTATTAAAATGTTTTGATTTCTGTTCATCCTGTTTTCAGTGATGGAAAAGAAATAAAGCATGCTGTTTATGATATCATCTGTGAAGAAACTTTGGATTTTTGGTGTACTCCTTAATAACAATTGTATCTGGTCTACTTCCTGCTTTACCTTATTTTTAGGGGAAATTTGGGAGGAGAGGTGTATCGGAATAGTTTTTAAAATACAGTCATCTAAAAATAAGCCTTTCAAGTTGGTACGGTCTAAACATGAAAGAAAGCCTGGCATGCTTTTATTTCCTAAGTAGATAATTCCACTAAGATGTTTGTTGTGCTGTGTTTTGAAAGCTAAAACAGAGGGTGCTCAAACATGATCATAATAATTTTTGCATAGATGTCTGAATTAATGGAGACATGCAGTGTTGTTCCCAGTATAGGTGACAGTCTTTTGGGGCTATACAGCATTCACAGTAATTTTTAGATGATACAGACTGAACCTCCGAGAAAGCTACCTTTTGTCTACCAAGCTTAGGCAATTTCATATAACAACTGAATGTGGCTCAGCTTCCACCTGTGAACAGAGGGACTGAATACCAAGCTACCCCTAATATCCTCTATGCCTCAAAAAAGGGGGAGCAATCTTATTGAGATTGCATAAATATAAGAAAAGCAAAGTTGATGTAGTCCTGGATACAGCTTCAAATTTGTTGTATGTGAAAAGTGAATTTTAGAAAACTATTTACTTCTCTTTTTCAGACTTTGCTGATCCATCTGAGGATGACCAAGCTAATGTTCTGGGTTTTCAGTTCCTAACGGGTTCAAAAATCACTCTTCTTGCTTCAAAAACATCACGTAAGTGGTATTAAAACATAAAAGATAATAGGCCTGAAAATATAGGATCATCAGTTAGTAGGTGTAGAAAATGAGAATGTGGGTTCTACAAATAAGGTAGGTATACAAATTTGTAGGGTGAGAGTTTATTTAGGAGTTTCAAAGCATTAACTGATCATGTTTAAACTGCCACTCTCAAGTATCTAATAATACTTCTAGGGAAGTTTCGAAATTTTAAAATGGAGCAAGAAAGATACTCAAACTATGCCACACTACAGTGACAATTGTCTAGAGAATCACACATGGAATCACACAGAATTTCTAGGTTGGAAGAGACCTCAAGATCATCGAGTCCAACCTCTGACCTAACACTAACAGTCCCCACTAAACCATATCCCTAAGCTCTAAACATCTAAACGTCTTTTAAAGACTTCCAGGGATGAAATTGCTTTTTCTTAGAATTTTTATTTTGGCAATGTTTTTAATTAGGCGTTAATACTATCACTGTAATCACATGAAGAAAAAAAAAAAGACCAAAAAATCCCACTTCTTTTTCTCAAAAGTATTTCAACTGACCTGTGTTTGGAAGTAATCTGTTATTTTTATTATAATTTGTGAAAAGGATTAAAAAGCAAGTTTGTAACTCTTCACAGTCTTTCAGTAATGTTTGACTCTGATTAGTATCTGACCCTGTGTAGGTGCTTCTTTGCATCTAAGTAAATTCCCGTATCTTTGGATTCCTGTATATCTCTGATTATAGGACTATGAATTCTATCATGTTGAATACTATACTTATTGTATAGTATTCATGCCATGAACACGCTAACGTGTATGAACATATATGTAGATAGCATCTACAGCATCTCTTGGCCAGGGCAGCTTGTGAATTAAGCAGTCATGTTTCAAACACCTGTGTGTTTGTGCTCTTAGAAACATAAAATAAATCAACTCTCTAAATTTTGGAGAGTTTGGGAGTTTAGGGTCTTGCTAGGCTATTCAACTAATTAAACTTCCTTGGCACATGCAGTGGAACTAAATTTATTCAATTGTGTTTAGCCAGCAAAGCACAAAGTCTTAATTTAATACAGCACACCAAGAAACTGAAAAGCTAAAATACCTGTTGCTCATTGCTAAGAGTTCAAAGGGAACTTGCTTAAGAGTTCAAAGGGAACACTTTATGAATGCTCTATGAAAACTATTTTGAGTAAGTGAGAAATCAGAATCTAGTTTAATGTGAAATTCTTTCAAAACAAAAATAATCTGCCTCACTGTGTTTTCAAAATAAAGTATTTGTGATGGTTAATATAAATACCAATGGCGTCAGCTGTAAGCTATGAGATAATATTTAATACTTTTTCTAATATAATCAAATGTGTTAAAAACAGAAACCATCTGGAGTGTAATTATTGAAGAACATCCATTGTACCAAGAATCACTTTACATTTCTAAGGTTCAAATCCATTTGTATTAGTTTGTATGCACAATTTGCATGCTGTTTTATTATGAGTTTGTTTTTAATATTTGTTTAAATAGACAGTAGATTTTAAACAGTTTGAACTAGCTAGACGTGCAATTATAGTTTCTAGAAACTAAAGAATTTAAAGGATTTATAAATAACTTTTTATGGATTACAGTTTAAATCTTTTATTTGAATAGTTGCTAAATCTGATGATGCTTTGTAAGGGACAAATTTATGTCTATGAATTAGACACAATGAATATATTTTAACTTTTAGTAAAGCTATAACTTTTAGTTCCCCTACCCAAACCATCAAGTTCTTCCTTTCAGGTTTGTTTATTCACTAGCTAGGAATGACGCTTTCAGTCTTACTGTAAACTTTCCCACACTGCTTTACTTGTGAAGTTCACTTAACAAAGGAGATTCTAATAACTATTTTTTTTCTTAGTGTGATTACTCATTTCTCTTGTCTGGGAATCCTTACTTTAGGAAACAAAGGAGTTGTTTGATGCCTTCTTCCTTGTAGTGGCCTGTTTCCAGCATCTGTCACATGTGTTGGATTGGGGTGGCTGTAGAATTTCTCGGGGTTGTGTGTGTGGGGGGGTCACTAAGTAAACGCACAGTTTTAGAAAATTATTTGTAGAAGTTGTGATACACAAGGATAATTAAGAGGATTTTTTTTATGAACAGAGATTGTCCATAATATAAAAGCATTGTTTGGTAGAATTTCATGGTGTTAGAATTATTTTGCTTGAGTGGACGTCCTATATGGACATAATTAATGCAGATAAAGTTTTGTATTAATTGGGAGGTTCTGTTATTTTGCTACCATTTTTTTAAACACTGAGCTTTTACTTTGTATAAATACTTAGAAAGCATGATCACTGCAGAAAGGTTCTTCATAAAGAAAATTGTATGTGTAGGCAAATAGTAATGAAAAAAATAATCATTGTGACCGATCAATCCTTGTTCCTTGTTTCCCATGAAAAGTTGGTCTTGGACAATGGACACATTTTTCCCAAATTCCTTTTTGAATGGACTTTAAGTTCTTAATAGGAAGGATTGTATGTACGAGTGAAAATCTCCAAGTTCAGTTGGGTTTCACTGCTGAAGCTGCAGACAAAAATGACATCTGTTTTCACATTTGTTTTTAATTACATTAGCTAATCCATTTTAAACAGTATAGTAATTGAAGATGTTACTTCAGCCCGTCAAGAAGACTGCTGCAAAGAAGCCCAGCCTGAAGTTCATTTTCACAGTTAGTATACATTAAAACAAAGCTTGCTTAATGTAGATTAAAGTTGTAACTGTTTTTGAACTTTTTCTATTTCTTTTTTTTTAAACTATCTTTAATCAAAGTTTAAGGAAGGCTTGACTACTAGTTGTGGTTGTTTTTTCTTGTGATAAGGGCTTTTTAGCTAAGAAGTGAACTGAATCTCCCAGACTTCCTTCAGATAAGCTACAGTCAGGGCAACAAATCTTTCTTATTGCAGATTATTTAAGCCTTGTAACCTGCTAGAGCTCCTCTGAGGCTCCTGATTTTCTGTTTGAGAATGTTTCTGAAAATAATTGTAATTTTTCTGTAAGAGAGCTTATTTTAACAAAAAACTAATGTAAATTGATTAGCTATTATAAAAGCACAAGAACAGAATCCCAGATACGTATTTTTTCCACTTTTTTTTTTTTTCGTGTAAATCATGTATTTATTATAACTAAGGATTCTCACTTTCCTACAGTTTGTAAATCTAATTTATCTTTGTTTTTGAGAGCTGAAAGATCATATAAAGCAAATGAGTGCAATGCTCTCTACTCAAGCCATGGTAAAATTAGATTGTGTTTGTATTGACCAACAAACAATGTATGGAAACTAAATATGCATTTTGGAGGAAATTAGTTTTATCCATTTTAAACCATTAATGTATTAGACATGTCAATTATAAATGGAATGACTGTTTATTTGGCCTGAAAACATCTGAGCTAATTTCCCTTAAGGAAAAATCACTTAAAGAAAAGTATGATGATACATCCAACTAAGTCCAGCCATTACACTGTGAGTATTTAAAAAATGGGTATTAGGTTGAATGTTATCTTTAGCAGATGGTGTTCTTTTCTTTAACAGACATGTTTTTAAATAAAACTTGCTTCTTTCCTCTTACACTGTAAACAGAATTTGTCATTCTCTATTCAGTGAAATGTGTATCCTGGGAATGATGCCAGTGGTAATGTCAAACAGTCTTGAATTAATAACGTTGAGGAAATTTTAAATAGTACATTCAAGTTCTAAAGAATTTGGCTTTATTTGATTTACTGTGAAGCTTATTAACAAGGATGGAAAAAAATAAAAAAGAAATATTTTGCATCAAAAAAATCAACAACTCTTTTTCCATCATAGCTGCATTTCTGTCGTTCCCTTTGGATAAAGTATTGATAGATGAATAATGCCAAGAAGTAGGGCATTGTTGTTTGAAACAGTATCAGAACAAAATAAATGCTGATACAATTGTCTACAATGTTTTACCTTCAACATTTAGTTAATTCTCATTTCCTGGAAACTGAAGAGAGAAATATACAAATATGGACTAGAAACAGAACAGAAAAAAGATCTCATCCAATTAGCTTGATAATTTGAAATTCGCTAAAATGTGATAAGTTGAGTCAACTTGTTGGGACAGAGAACAGAGGCTAACTGGACTTTTTGTTTTCACTTCAATTTATATTAACATTTTCATCTCTCTACTACTGCATTAGAGTTAAGTATAGAACTAACAAAACTGAATATTGTTGTCTATGACTACTGAATGAGTAACGATTTCCTATTGAAAGATATCGTAGGAGGTAGAGATGTAATAAAAATTATATTAGTGACTGTATTGTCTGAGAAGACAATAACTGTTTTCAAAAGGCATTCAAGCTTTTATTTGAAGTAAATTTGGTTTGTTACAACTATTATCTGCTGCTCAGGATGCTGTGCTTCTCCCATGGTCCAAAGTGAATTGAACCTGACTTTGCCTTAAGCCCCCAGCATAACTTGTTCAGACTGTGCTATGGAAGAGAATGCAGACAACCTGTTGTTATAGCTTAATATCATCCAGTAATTCTTGTTTCCCTATTGTGGTAATTCTTCATAGTTATTTGCACTTTATAAACAGAGTGCACCACACTCTGGAGTAAGTAGTCCTGAAGCTATGTACTCATTCTGTGCTACAAAATTGCCTGTTAAAGTTAGCATAAAGTAGAGGGTATTTAGGACCGACACCAATAAAATAAAAGTATTTATTTAATGCTAATGAGCATGTATCTCCTACGAAAATCTCTAATGCAAACTTTGAATGTACTGATAATGTTAGTTAAATTCCCATGTATTTTCGATGTTGTGTAGTGGATGTATACAGCTTAAATGTGTTCATTATTAGTCTTTTATTTGTTCTTGTTTCCAAAGAACGATATAGGATCCAGAGTGATCAGTTAGAAGACCTTTGGCTAATAACAAAAGAGCTCACTCTTCGACTGGAAGAACATTTCAAAAAGCAAAATTGCAAAGACTTTGCGTGTACCTTTTCAGGTTCAATTCCCCTGCAAGAATACTTTGAACTAATTGATCGACATTTTGAGGTATGTTACACAGTGTGTGATTCTACTAGTTCAAAATTGTGTGCTGGTACTAAGAATAATCAGTTTAAAACTGTATAATGATCACAGGTGCACAGCCATTTGTTTTTCAGAAAATATGAAGTTGCATTTAAACATAGTGCTGGAAAAAGTGTTGTTGTACATTTTTTAACATACGGATATATGGGCATACACCTTGCCTCTGAAGCAGCCCTTGTGATTGGGAGAGTATATGTAGCTACTGTGTAGTCTGCAAATTATACAAATTATGGAACTAGTATTTGCCCTTCTGTTCACTAGCTGTATAGGAGCCATGGGTTCTTTATTGACTAACATCCTGTTAACTGTAAAGCTATTTTTGAAACTTGTCCTTAGTTTTAGGCTATTCTATGATAATGAACCCATGAGCATCTATTTTGGCTGAATCATCCCTGTAATTATGCAGAAAGTCCCTGCACACACACACACACACACACACACACACACACCAAAACAAAAATAAAACAACAGCAACTAGAAAAACAAGAACAAAACACCCAAGAAACAAAAAACCCTGACTGCCCTTGTGGAAGTAGAAGGCTTTAAGAGGTTTACCAGACCAGATACAACATATACATAATTATTTTCTGCTGTCTGTTTGGTCATGCAGATGACAGTGAAAACATTCTAATAGTTAACTTGTAGAAATAGTTAATAATGTATATGTGCTCTTTCCCTTCTGTTCTGCCTTCTTTCCAGTAACAAAAGGAAACAGTTGTTTGAAAATTTCTATTAGTTTAAACTCATGTAATGGGCAAAAGTATAAATATATGTATGCAAGAGTGAGAAACGCTGTTCAGTGTTCATGCTGCCACTTCTGTGAGGTGGAGCCATCATTATACAGACATGGTTGTTTTGGATAGATGTAGAGATTTTTAATGAAACAATCTAGGCACAGGCTTGTCTCTCAGGCTTATGAGTACTCATGTACTGAGTTTCAAATTCTATGAAAGAATAGAGTTGGTTTTATTTTATGCATTTTTTTATTGTTTACTTTTTCTAATGGCTGATATTGTAGTAATACCTTAACTATATATAATCGAACATAGGCTTCATTAGATTGTGTCACACGCATAGATATATTGTGGGTTGGAATATTGGTGTGATCACTGTAGTGGTAAGTTAGGATCTAATTAGTTTGCAACTGGCTATTTTTAAGTTTCTGAAATTTTAAAAGAATTACATTCTGAAAAGTTTATACTCCAAGAAAAATGGTCTATTAAGGGGATCCTGATGTTCCATCCCTTTTTTGGCAAGCTTGGAACAGTATTACCTGAGATGTCCCCTTTTTCCTTCTCCTCCTAGAAGAGCTGCAGTTCTTTTAGCTTGCCTGGAAGTCCTTTGTAATCATGTACTGATGGAATAGTATATTTGCTTATTTTTTTTTTAAAATCTGTTTTCTAAATTTAGGAGATTTCTAATTTGGAGACACTATAAAATAGATACGTCACAATGTATCTTGAAAGCTGCATGTCTTGAAATGTTTTTTTTTGATAATTTTTGCCAGTTACAGCATGTACAGAGGATATTACCTTGAGGACTCAGCTTTCTGAAAGAAACACACTTTTATTAGTGATTTTTGTCTTAAAGGTATATAGCAGAAAATAGATGGTTATAAAGATAAAATAGGAATTTTATTATCTGGGCACTTGATATATGATATTGCTCAAAGTTTTGTGAACATTTTAATAAAGTTAGTTGCTGTACCTGATCAATATATATATAAAATTAATAAGAATTTCACTTTAGATATAGAAGTCATTCAGTCAGTGAAGAATTTAGTGCTTTTATTCATGCTTAAGGGAATAACCATTTACATTCTACAGCAATGAGTAACAAGTCTAATATGCCATGTGTATGAGCCACAGTGCGTGAAATTGAGGAGAAAACCTGAGATACTGGTGTTGAAATTTCATTCTTTTTAGGTAGTCTTTTTGATGAGATACTTAGGCATTAACACATCTTGTTATTTCTTTTGGCAATTATTTTTGACTTCAGTGGCAAATGATGATTCCTGAAAATGTTAAAAAGTTTTATGAATATGAAATTAACCACATCAATATGAAATTGGTATAAACAACATATTTATACTTGAATAAATATACACACTATAAAGAATTTTACTATCATTCATATTCATATCTGAGAAAATACACACACTCAAGAATTTTACTCTCATTCTCTCATTTCATGTGGAATGGGCAGATACGATGTATATGACCTGTAATCTGAATTCTTGAAAACCATTAAATTGCAGCTGCGCTTGAATGCAGAAAAATTCCGTGAGCTGTTATCTGAGAGGGCTGTACAATTTAGAGCTATCGAGAGACGATTGCTGACACGATTCAAAGACAAAACTCCTGCTCCTCTTCAACATCTGGACACCTTGCTAGAAGGAACATTCAGAGAGGTCAGTACAGTTTGATTATGAACCTAACCTTTCTTTGTGATGTTGGTAAAACTTAGCTTCAAGCATATAAGCTATGCTTTCCTGGTTACATTTACCATCCAAAGACCAGGAAGCAGTAATTTGTTTAACCTGATATTCCCTGTAAGTTTCCAGATGATATGAAATAGTTTTATTTAATCTGTGACCACAGAATTTTTACTCCTAGGTCACACCAGCTTGACAGCACATCATTCTTTCCTAACTGATGTTGATAGTGTAAATATTTTATAGTTCATGTGAAAATATTTTATAGTTCATAGCTTATGTAAATATTTTATGGTACACTGTAAACTGGTGGAATGGTTTGGCTGGTGTAATATTCACAACAAAATTGTCTGAGGCTAAGTCCTTTCTTAGATGTTACTTTGTGCACTTTTACTTTTCTGTTAGACAGTCCAATTTTTACTTTTTAACATGCCTTGTTAGAGGAGCTGAGACACAATTAGATTGCTAGCTAGAAAGGAGATTTATGCACTGTGGTGTATCAGGACAATTCAAAAATTAAGACAGGAAAAATATTTTTACTGTTTGGTTTATGAAAACCTCTCTGTAAATTACAGAAAACTTCATTTCCATTTATGGTTAGACGTAAGAGAAATATGCCTTCTTTTATATATTCAAGGCCAGGTTAGATGGAGCTTTGAGCAACCTGGTCTAGTGGGTTGGAATAAGATGATCTTTAAGGTTATTTCAAACCCAAACCCTTCTATGATTCTGTCTTTAACGAGTCAACTATGAGATGGTGTAAGTTTGAGAGTGTTTTTTATTTTTTTTATTTTCTTACTTTAAAAAATACTAGGTGTTGTTAACACATAGATGGTTAACACTTTAAAATGGCACAACTAAGTAATCCCTAAAGATCAACAAAAGTGGGTCTCTTGAGCCTGCTTTTGCTATGCAGAACTGTTACCTTTAAACTTAAATCAACCAAGATGTTCTTGACAATTTCTTGAATTAAAGATTGGTTCTAGGAATATGACAAAAATCAAGTGGTTAAAATGCATATTGTGGGAGTATATCTGAAAGGTCCTTCAAACCAAAATTAGATGGGTCATCTTTCTAAAAATTACCTTTTTTTTTTTTTTTTTTTTTTTGTAGTTGAATGAGAAAGAGGGAAAAGATTTATTTCTAGAGGATAAATGTTTATATTTTTCAATATTAGTTAAAATCTGATTTTAGGCAAGCTCAGATTTTTCTTGGTAGATTCCTTTTGTTATTTTGTTTTGTTCTTGAATTCCCTTGTAACAAAGAAATGTTATTACAAACAAAAGCGTAGTAAAATAGTAATTACCATAGGGATCCCAACATTGTATCCATTGCTTTGGAAGCGAGCACTGTGGTAGGACTTAATATAGTCTCTTTGCTGCTTGGGCGAAATGAAATTGCTTGGTAATGCATTTACTGTGTTAGAAAAGACCTTGTTTTCTTTTTTAAAAGTCTTTAGCATCTTCTGTCTTTGCTTGAACAAGTATTTCTAATGCAAATATTTGAAGTATTCAAAATACGGAACATCTTTTTTCACTAAAGAAGGTATAATGAGGCTGGATAAATATAAATAGTATAAAGTCTCACTCCGAAAATTATTTAAGTTGTAGTCTTTTTGACATAGAAATTACTATTGTTGTATTTTTGAGGCTACTGCTTTTCATAGGAATTGTTAGAAAAAAAAATCGTCTGTTTTTCTTTTGGGAAAGTTGTCTGATATGAGGACCATAGTTCTGTTCTTTAGTTTTTTCGATGGAGAATGTATTCAGTGAAGAAATGATCCATACCCCACGGAAGTAAGTAGCATGGCTCCTGTTTGCTTCAGGGGAATTTGGATTGAACTCTGAATGTAAGTGGTGTCAAAGTTTTAGGGGCATTGTAATAAAATTGGTATGATAAGTCCTACAATTAAATACTTTTAGTGTTGGAATAAAACTTGGTTCCCTTTCCATCTAACACCACTGTCTGAGAACATCATGCCTTATGCCAAAAACTTTTGTAATGAGGAGAAAAGAAAAAAAAATGCATATTTTTTCACTGAAGTAATTGTTTTGTACAAAAGAAAGGTATTTTCTACATTGGGTTTTGTGGTCAGAAAGAAAATGTGCATGTTTTGCTTTTATAGCGTACTCCAAACCTTGTCGTCTAGAGCAGGAAAGAATTTCCAGTTAACATGAATATCTGATTTCACTGCTGTTTGTTTCACTCAGTCTCCAGGATTTGGGTTCTATGAGTTGCATTCTTGATCAAATAATTACTATAATTTATATATATTTCTTTTAAATGAAGCTGTAATGGTATAACCTCTCCTAATTCAGCATGATGTAAAGATGTCTCATACTGCTTCCCTTATTTCCTTTCATCAGAACAGTTATACTGAAGTTATAACCTTTGTGTGAACAGGCTTTTTAACACAAATCTAACAATCACAAATGTTCAACTCATGTAGCTTCACTGCCTGTTTGATACCTATTTAAAATGTATTCTGAGTAGTTCTTTCTTTGCCAAACTACAAATTTTTATAATGAATTGCTGAACTGATTTGAATTTTATAGCTGTAGTTGACTGTAAATGTTAGTTTTCAGATTTTCAACTCAATCAAATATAAGTTGTTTGCGTGGTATGTGAGTAGAGATACAAGTCAAAGCCATCGATGCTGAGGCCAAGAAAATAAATCAAGCTGCATTTATTTCTCCTGTAAAAATCATTTCTATTTACAAACTATTTTTTTTTATATATCTTCTTGTACATGACCAAGAAGGCAGGATGTATTCAGTGCTACAATAAAGTTGCAAATGTATTGTAAGGAAACTGTAGCCTTACTTTTAATCTTCACAATAAAGGAGAAACAGGCATTGATGTGTGCAGTGATGAAAGGCTTCTTTTGTTTTTACACTCCTTTTCAGTATTTTCTTCTAGAATTCATCTTTATGAATTAACTGTATATGTCAATATAGATTTGAGTTTTACAGTAGTTAACAAATAGTGACATATGGTGTTCTGTTTTGGAAGGAAAAGAAAAGCTATTTTATATATAGTAACTGTGTATATTGGTAAAAGGAAATGTCATTATTGTGATGTTTGAGTGATTTGTAGGAAGAACCTATCAACATAGCGGAAAATAAATTTTCGATAGATGCCATTTGTGTGACTATGTACTACAATTTCTTGAGCTTTGGTTTAAAAAACAACAACAACAAAAAAAAAAACACAAAACACAAGGCAATTGGATGTGCTGCTAGCTCTTGTTCTAAAAATGAGATGAATTTACAAATGAACAGCAGTTGAGGTTACATAGGCTTTTTCAGTTTAAAGGACTTGGAATATAAAATAAGATTGCAGCAAATTGCATGGTAGCTGCTGTAAACAGTATGTACTTTATACAATGCTCTCTTAGTAGAGACATGTTATTGCTTGAAAGTGTAAGTTAATGGTCTTTAATCTCTACAGTGTGTTTTCTGTCATATTATAGAATCATAGTTTGGCAGCTGCTGCAGGTGCTTGCCTTGAAATTATAATTTTCATGCATTGACTGTTGACATACATTATTGGGGTTTCCAGGTACAATTTGGAATTTACAATAGGAGTCATAAGAATCACTCTGTTTCAACCCATGTAGATTATAACTTAGTGAATCGAAGCAGTACCAGGCATGTTTAGTTGTAAAGCATTTAAACCAGTTACTATGTTTAGAAGATTAGTGCAGTTATATTCCTCTTAGAGAAAGAAGAGAAGGGATGGATTTGAAATGTGGGGTGGAGTTCTCCTAGGGCACTGTTGCTTAGCCAATTTTAAGTTCTTGAACTGTTCAATCTTGTCTCAGATTCATGTTTTAAGTTTTTTAAAAAATATGTAATGACTGAGCAAGCTCCTATATATTGCGTTATACTACAATAAAATGTAGGAAGATTAAGACAAATGACGAAGCAAATAGGTTTGTCCTATATTCCCAAACTTGTAGTAAACCTAGGTCCCTTCCTGTTCTTTGATGCAACTGTTACACAATACCTTAGGTCTTCCCATGTTCTAAGGCTTCTTTGTCACACCCCCTTAAAACTGCTAACCCTTTTGTGTTTTCTAATACTGAAATCTCAACTATTACCCATGGCCCCAGCAGCCCAGCACCACCAGCTGCTATTTGTGTGCAAGTTGTCAAGCCAATGCACTATTGTTGACTGGCAGTAGCCATCCAGAGAAGATAGATAATGTGAAGATTCCTGACCTTGTCTCAGTGGAACTATTAATAGGGTTTGCACTCCCAGTCTGCTAAATAAATAAATAAATAAATAAATAAATAAATAAATAAATAGGAACTTAATGATTTCTGGGTCTTCATTTCATTGTAAAATTTATTAGTGGACATTGCAAAAAACAGTTGCTAGGAATGGGCAGACAGAACAAGTTTGACATAAGCGGTCAGCACAGTTACATAACCTTAGAAAACAAGGCTTTATAACTAGCTGGTTCCTTATTTTTTGATTGGTGACACATTTCAGCTTTTCTTTAAGGCACTTCATAATTTGAGTGTGTCTTGCCATTAATAAAGAGGGCCTAACATGCTTTTCAATACAGATCTGCTAGTACTAATTGAAGCTACAATTTTCTTCCCTTTTTTCTTGTAATTCATCTATTGTGTCGTGATCATCTTATTTATATTATTACTGGAAAGCTTGTCTCACAGAAATACCTGGCTGCAAGCAGCATTAATACGGCTTTCAACGCAGTTCTCAGATACTGCTCCATAAACAATTAGTTGTCCAGTTCATTCTGCTTTCTTTGGTATGTAGCCTGTGTCTGTCTTGGCTAGTCTTGGTCTTGTATCTTAAGTCTGCATATGAATTGCAGCTTGAAGAAATTAATGCATATAGGAATTTTTCATTGCTTGAAATAAGGGAACAAAGTATTCAGTGTCCTTCAATTTTTGGAGAGGTGGTTGTATGTTTGTGTTTACAGGGAAAAAGAAGTATTATCTTATT